TCTCTGTCTGTCTTTCTCCTCCTTCCTTACTCGGCTCATATCAAGCTATGTACTTCATGTTTAAATTTGATGCAAAAAGTGCTTCTTCCTAGTCCTCGTAGAATGAAAGATGGGGCAGAACTCTGGCAAATAACCAAAAAATCTCAAGAACGAACATCGTTGGGAGAAACAGAGGTCAAGTTTATTTTCCGAGCATTCGGAGAAATAGTCACTTCGTTTTTTTTACTCATGCACTAGTCTCATGTACATGTTTTATAATTTATATATATACTTTTTTTGCTAATAGTATTTTGCATGCTGAACATATATTAAATGGCCTTCATTTTTGCCGCAAATCAATTGTTATTGAGTTATTGATGTTTGAAATCAGAACTACATTACAGTAGTCAGGCCTGACGACTTCGTTGAATCCTAGTTTCATTATATTGGTCATTGATATGATTGTGAGTACAGTTGTCATAAAATCTAAAAATGGGGATCCATTCAGGAATGGCATGGATCATGGAAAGTGAAAAAAACTAAGAAATTCCTCCACCACTCTACCCCTCATTATCAACCTTAGTCCCTAGGCCTAGATCTAGAGTTCAGTAATACTGTCAGTATGATATATATATAGAAACCTATTTAAGAATACTTGAAGAAAGTAGATCTATGTTATATAAATTTATTCTTAGTGGTTTAAAACATAAGATTCTGATGTGTAACTATTTTAATTTAATCTCGGTAAAAGTAAAGTTACCGCTATAGGATATATCCTGTGGAATTTGTCGCTCAGCCTTTGTCACTAATAGGGGGTTCCCACTAGTGCGATCAGGTCGGGTCGGGTCAATTTGGTAGTTCTGGCTAGCCAAATTGAGGGCATATAGTGGCCATCGTCGCACAAACTGATGGACTAGATCAGTGACCTTCAAAAACGAACGCATTTATTTTCAGGCCTGCGAATTGCGTGATCAGGTTGTTTGCAGCCAATCACAATAAGGCTGAGTTACGTGACCATGTTGACACTCAAAATCCAGTGGTGCCCTCTTCGAAAAAGTGCGGACTTTCCGAACAGTTGCCCTGCTTGTGTGAAAAACAATAAAAATGAAACTAACAAACTGTGCTGTTCCTATTCTTCTTTTAGAGAAACAAAAGAGAGCTCCAAAACAAAGGCTTGTAGCACCATCTGAACGGATGCGCGGACTTCCGCGGACACTTTTTTGACTGAGTGAACTGTCATGTTATGAACGATCTTTGATAATAGAAAGTTATCGATTTAATATGTAACCATGTTTATAGGATTCCAGGCTGCCGTAGCATTGCAACAGGGAACTGCGGAAAGGAGCCCTGGAAGCCATTGAGGTTAAATGTTTCTCTATTTTAACTTCCAGGTCGTCGGGTACAATCGTGGCAGGTTTGTAGTGTGCACTTAAACCACCAGAAAACGACCCGACCCGACCCGACTTGCTCGCGTAAGTGGGCACCCCCTATAAAGTTTTGTATGGATTTTCGTGTTCAAGTCACATTAAATTTTAATATTGAATCAGTTAACACCATCTTTGACGGTCTCGATTTTTTTTTTAGTCGAAACTTGAAACTTGAGGTAGCAGTTGCTTTAAACACATGACCAGCACCCTATCCCTTGTATACTTGAAACATTTTTCTGATGGTTTGCTTTTCTTTTTCTTTATCAGAGAGCCCAAGAAGGTTCACAATGTCTCGAAAGCCTTATGGAACATACCAGTACACACCGACTGCTGGTGTCAGAGCAGATTTCAAGAGACTCATGAACAGCTTCCTTTCTCAGAACACTGTGCGTTATGAGGTGTTCAGTGAAATCTGGAGAGAGAAAAATATGTCATACATTTGTGCTTGCAGGTCTTCTGATCGTGAAGCGAGAGAGGTCTGTGTACACATCCAAGTCATTGACTATGTTTATAGAGATTTTCATGTGTTATTGATTCAAGTCTTAGCATTTGTCAATCTAGAAAAGCAAAATTCTGGAAAATTATCACGCAAATTGTCCTACCTTTAAGGCATTTTTTAATGATAAAAGTAAATGGTTCTTTTTTGTGTTTGTCTGTTTTCCGTGACTGGGATAAATAACTGAAGTATATATGTTTTATGGTAATGAAGTCATACTTTTATTGTTGCTGAATACATGACAATTTAGAGAACTCTGCATTTGTGGGCTTTATTTCATCTAGGTCAGGTATACCTGATTCAGATTTCTGTGCAGATAGATGTGTGTACCATTAATGATCTTTGCATTTATAGTAAATCTTTGTTACACTTTGTATGACATTTATTTTCTTTTTCTTTTTCAGTTCATGGAGCGAATCTTTGTGATTGCTCTGGAGTATTTCTTGCCTCCTTTCCAGTTCCAAGTACGGGTGGGAGGACTCTATTTACTGTATGCTTTATTTCAAATCCAGCCTGTGGTCCCAAAAGTCAAAGTAAGTAACTTTTATAACATTCACCATTCTAGTGACATTGCTTACTTAAACACCTTTCCCATGCATCAATATTTACCTTTCTCTGCCTTGTAAAAGATTCTGCAAAAGGCTTTAGTTTTGTTTTTTCATATCGCTGTGGTTCTTTAGTGGGCCTTGCATTTTCTTATAAATGTCTGACTGTCGAAAGTAGAGGCTCTTAATTTTACATGCAGGTGGGAAATGCATCTCCACTATTCAAGAATTACTGGAATGTGCCATGAGTAAGTTATGATATGCAGATGTGTAAGCTGGACAGTTATTAATGCTTTTGGTTCCTTTGAGGAATTTTTCAAATGTGTGTGGGTTAAAAAAAAATTGAACCACTATTATTTCAATATAGCAAGGTTACTGTTTGTTAACTGTTATGTCATTTTATTATGCCTCCCTGTTATAGTAACAGTCTGTTTTAGTGTCATAGCTTCTTATTGTCTTTAAATGGCCATGGGCCAGTGTAGCACGTACAGTTTGAAGCATTTTGCCTTTATTTTTCCATATTATGTGTGAAATGCAATATATATATCCTTTTAGCATTGTGTTTATTTACTAGACCTATTGTGCGGGGTACAACGTTGTACTGTAGTTTCTTGAACTTCACATAATACTAATGAACTGAAAACTACTCGTCTTTCTGAAAATGCTGGTAAGCTTTTTAACTGACTCCTTGTTTTAAATTGTTTATAATGATTTAAAGATCAGGTTAACAAGAAGTCAATGGGAGGACTCCTTGTTTCTGAAGCAGCAAGCAGCACTGCAGAGTCACCTGGATGTGGTGTATATCTTCAATCGCCTTCTTTGTGAACATGCCTTCCTGTTTTGCTTAACTGCAGCAGAGGTAAGAGAACATTTTCTGTTTTACGTCATTTTATGTTTCCCGTTTAAAAATGGTAAAGTAGAAATGGCAAGTTTAATTTTCTTTTATTTAATTGATTGGGTTTTTTTTTAATGTTGCTTTTAAAAAAAAATCTGAAATGTTGTTTGACTCTTCTTGTACTGTACAGGCTTTTTTTATTACCTGTATGAACTGTCCTGGGCAACAACGTTATTGCACACTGGATAGGTCCATAAATGCTCAGTTTCCCCCAGCACCAAAGCCTGCAAGGTATCCATACTGATGGCTCTTTTTTATGGCTGGGATAGTCAGTCTTTGAAGAAGTTCTGGTGTTCAAATTTAGCCAGACTGAAAGTTTCTCAGGCGAAATCTGCAATTTGGTTCTGTATTTCTTTTTCTTTTTTTCACTAGATGAGTATGCCACGTGGGGCAGTTGATGTCCGTGACGATGAGGAGAGTCTGGCTGATGAGCTGAGGGAAGAGAGAAGTAGTATAAACAGTCTGTTCAACTATGAGTCCATGGAGGTGACTATATCTTCAATTTTTTCCTGCATAAAAAAGAGTTCCTAAATCTTTATTTATACCCCTCCTTTTTCATTGCACAAAAGACTTTTCTTATGATCTAGAGAGGAGGAAAGGAATTCCAGGGGTAGAAAAAGTCTAGTTAAATGAAAATGTATGAAAATTGAGGTCAAGTTGAAAAGAAATTCACAGTGTGATTTGAAAAAAATCATTTTGTGGAAATACTTTTCTAACTACTAACTGCTCTTTATGAGTAAATTACATTTGGCCTTAAAAAAGTCTCAAGTAGATTTATAAAGGTTTAAGTAATAGTGTCTTGTGTGGATACTTTTTTGTACTTTCTATCTTCAAGTATGCATGCTTGGTTAGCATTGGACACTAATGTTACGTAGCAAATCGTCATATGCTCATTGGGTTTTGCTGACTCCATTTTCGGGGCCTGGGAAAGTATGAACATAAAGAGACAAAATTGTTGTGATCTTAAAATTTCTGCATGTTTTCAAAAATTTTGTGAATATGAAAATGTTTTGCAGGTACTTCATAATACTTAACCGTTCTTCCATTGATCTCTTCTCATTCTTTCTTTTCAGCAACTGTCTTACTTGCAAGACCAGTACAGGCAAATGAAAATTGGACTATCTGGTCCAGAGGCAACCAAACCAAACAAATCGTTGAATGTTGTTAATGATGGCCTTGTGGAAGACCTGATCCTGTAAGATTTCAGAAAAAATATTATTTGGGTGTTTTTTCTCTCCATCATTGATATAAATTAGTTACCCCCACCCCCACCCCTTCCTTTATGAGTATAGGACCTGTCTTGTTGACTTAATGAAGTAATCGGTTTCAATATATTTTTTTCACTTATGATAGTTCTCTGATGTGTTCTTTTTGTGGTTGGATAAAAGCTAAATTTTGAAATATACACTGGGTAAAACGAGTGGCAGTCAGTGAAATCCAGTTGCCTTGGTAATCACTTACAAATGGCTGTGTGTTTCAGATTTACATGGACTATATAGAGTCCTGATAGAATGTCAGTATTTTTAAAAAGGGTTTTGTTGTCATTTTTCAAACTTAATGCAGCTTTAACATGGAGAGTTGATCAAGATGTTTTGTTATTTGCTTGCAGATGCTAGCATTTTGTAGTACTCTCTCATCCCTGATTGAATTGTGCTTAATTTGATATCATTGACTCTTTTTGTGTTTTTGACCTTTGGAACAGGATGTTGCAGTCATTTCGCACCAAAGTTTCTGGTATCAGCAAATATGTAAGTTAATTGTATTTTTTGTTCTGCCAAACTTTTTTTTTTCTTTTAATCTTGGTGCCACTATCATTTTTCTAAATACAGGTTCCTTTGTTGTGTTGTTATAATTATTATATTTGGAAATTTAAAGTGTATACTTATCTTAGTCTTCACTTTTGGGAGGAAAAGGTTTCATTTGGATTTAAAGGAAGAGTACAGTCGAACCTGCCCTGACGGCCACCTTTATAAGACGGCCACTTTCTGTTTCCCCCTTGCATTTTTTCAATAAAATTTAACTGTAAAACGGGCACCTGTCCAACACGGCCGCGGCCACCATATTTTAATACACATCCCCTGTCGACTGTAGATTGAGACTTTCTGTGGATGAATAAGGAACATTAAAATTATAGTGTGGTGGATAAGTTCAGTATTGGAAACTGGGTTCATTGTATTGTCCATGCCCAAAGTAGAAAAAAACCGAATCATTACTTTATAGCTGCTTGCTCATTCCTGTATTTACTCCCCCCCCATTTCTACAGGGTAAACGGAATGACACACATCCAGTGGAGGAAGTGGTGAGAATTTTCAATTGTGTAATTTTAATCTTTGTATTTAAGTGTATTTCTTGTCTGGAATTGAGCAGATGATGCTCTTGTTGTCTGTTTGTGCTGTGCATTAAAACAAGATTATTGAAATACCTTGATTCCTCCATCAGTCACCTCTATTTACAGTGATGCCCTAGCTTTTGAAATATTGTGTGACTTTGAAAAAGTGTGGGTTAATTCCATCTAATCTCAGAGCAAAAGTTTTCATTTTGTACGTATATATATTCGCAATAATTATTGATCTTATTTGTGAAATTTCTTCTTTCAGGAATGCATGTGTATAATGTAGTTTAGTCAAAAAGACAATTCTAGTGATTTCATTTTTTTTTCTTTTCTAGAATAATTTTCTTTGTTACTTGTTTTTTTTTGTGTGTGTGTGTGGGGGGGGGGGGGGGGGGGGGGTGCACCACTTTAGTCATAGGAATAAGCCTCAAGATTCCAAGCTCAGCACTTAGGAGTAAAGTCTAAATAAGGATCATAAGCACAAACCAGTTTTCAAAGATATCTTTAAATACCAAAAACAGCAAATTTTCCTTAATATATCTCTTGAGCTTTGTATTTTGCATATTATATATAAATAGGACAGAGGGGGAGAGAGAGACAGATAGATAAAGAGAGAGGGAGAAAGATAGATAAATAAACAGGTGTGTGTGTGTGTGTGTGTATGTGTGTGTGTGTGTGTGTGTGTGTATACTTTCTTAAGCGGAGGCTTTATTGCAACTTTTTTGTGACATATATCAACAGAAAGTGACGTATTCACACATTGCAATACATTGCGAACTGTCCTGATGTACAAGTGACAATTTTATCCTTTAGTTGTAATATTTTCAGATTTTTTGTTTGAGTTCCTCTATCTGGACAAGTATATTTGTTGCTTGTATTTACTCCCACATCCCTAGCGTATATCTGACAGTTGCTTGTGCATCATTTCCAGCAGGAGGTGGTGGAGTCTACTGGCAACAGACGCTCTGCCATCAAGGCCCAGGCGTACTCACAGGTGTCCACTCAGAGGTCAAGGAAGACGCATGTTGTTGTAGTTGAAGAAGAGGCTGGCTCCTCCTCCGTACAGAAGTCTCCTCAGAAACACGGTGGTAAGCTGCTTTGTACACGCAATATTTGATTTTTGATAAGAAATGTGCTTTCTGGGATGTAAGGTAATGTTTTTGTTTTCGAGAAGTCAATGTAGGCAAGATAGATATCAAAAGAAAAAAGAGAAGGTTACAACTTTCTACAAATAAGTCAACTAGACCCATAAAGGAAGAGACAGAAAGAAGCAGCCTAGAGTTGTTCAACATCATCAGAAGGAGGCATGATGGAAATGTTTGAAGAGTGGTTTGGACAGCCAATGCTTAAAATGATGGAATGGATGAGCAGGTATCTTTTCTGTGGGTGCGCACTGATTTTTGCTGTTGTCAGTATTATTGTGATGAAATTATGGAGTCAATGAAAATGGCATTAACTTATTTAGTCATCTGCATTAAGTGTTGGAAAGTTAAATGTGGAAAAAGATATTTTAGTTTGATAGAAAAGTTCCTGTCTCATGTTTATAACAACTATAAATTATTTTTCTCATGTTCACTTACAAAGATGAATAAAGGAAAGTGTTTTTCTGAATGACTGTTGTAGTTTCACATCTGGCTCTTCTTTTAGCTGTTCTTCTTGACTTTTATCTGTTCTTTCTGTTTGCCAGTCTCTCCCTCTGCTCTGGTTTTACAGACGTAGCTGCAAAGAGATAACACAACAAAGTGCCTTTCACTTATGCTCTCTTATGCTCCATTGAATTAATGGACGGGTTCGAACACCTTGCCCTATTACCTGTTAATTCTATCCAGCACTGACATGGTTTTGTCTCTGTCTAGGTGTAGAGAACATGGACAAAGATCCCCTAGAGGACAGCAGTCGAGAGAAACAATCAGGCAACGCCAAACTAAATATGCCGGTTTTCTTTGGAGATTTGAGCAGTGACGAAGACGAAGATGATGAAGACTACCTACCTCCCATCAAAATGTCTCGACCCTCTGAAAACAAAAGTGGTAAATGTCGCAGAACATCTCTCCAGTTATTACGTTTTCTCTTCTTCTCTGGTGTAATGTAGCCATTCTTCTTTTCAGTGCTGCTGTCATCTTTGTCTGTTTCTTGGGAAATAAGGAAATCTGACTATTTCACTGTGATTTACTATGGCCTGCTCTTCAGTGTACTGCTCTGTGTCTTCATTGTACTCAAAGAGAACTTCCTTGCCCAGCCATTTCTGTTTCCTTCTTCTTCTTGATTCACATGTTCTGATTGTTAGCTTGTGAAGTAAAGTGCATAGCTGCAAACTTTTCAAACAAAAAACCCCCCTAAACTTTTTCCATGTAGTGGAAATAGATTGTGCACTTGGTTTAGTAAATACACCTACCCCCCTCCCTTCCCCAACCCTTCATACACACTTTTCTGCATTTAATAAAATCAAGCTATTCAAATAGACCTCCTGCTAAAGATCTCTCCAATATGGGCTTCATTCTCATTATTATTTGCAAATCCAGTCTTGAAAGTTCAGAATTTTTTTTTAGCATCAGCAAGTCTGTGAAGAGCAATACTAGAAAACAAAACATATTTTTCAATATGAAACAATTCTAGGCTCAAACCCTCAAAAACGCATAAAATGTTCTTTTATGTACATGTTGGTAGCTATGTAAATGTGTTCAGGTTCATCGTCCTTTTTGCTTGCGTCCCATGAGTTTTCTTTTAAACTGATTATGTTTAGTTAGAGCATGTTTATAAATGGAGGTAAAGGATTTTTTTCCTTGAAAAGTAGTAGGTAGAGCAATTGTTTTTGTTAACTTTTTAAGTGAGATTGTGAGTGCAACGTCCTTTTTTTTTTTTTTTTTACATACCTCCATAATATATTTATACATTTCTCATGTTTGCTAATGTTCATATTCATTTTATGTTTTTTTTAATGTCTTAGAGCCATTATTATTCATGAATATCTACCACAAATATTCTCACGAAATTGATTCTGGCAATCTGTATAATTTTTGTCTTGAATAATTCGTGGAAGGACGTAACACGAAGCCCAAATGCTGTAAACGCGGGGGCCCTTTTTTTTATACTAAATTTTAAAATGACGAAAATGTCACTAAATTGGTCATTAAGTCAAAACTAGCGAACCTATTTTGATAGTACTTCATCTAATGAATGAACTTCCGGTAAAAGAAACATGTTTTCGGCTATTGCCTGAAAGAAATTTGATGTCCGAATTGTTGTAAAGGAATGTGCCCGAGTTGCTGTCAGTGGCTCACTGGCACAGCAGTTCCAACCGCTGGGAGCGGCTTGCCGGAGATAAAGAGTTAAAGACCACCTGAAAAGTTTGTTAGGCTGTGAAGTTGTGGCTACCTTCTGATTCTTGTGTTCACAATGGGCAAGAATTTGTACACTTTCTGTTTCTTTTTCCTACTTGTACAGGATACTCAGGTTGTTCTAGGTCGGTACGTCACAGCTTTCACTACTTTGGTATTATGAAAGATGCCAATATTTATTGAAAATGTGATGTATAAGTGTTAATAGTTTTTTCTCTATCCCCAGCCTCCACAGGTTCTATGCACAAAATGAAAAGCAAACAAGCCATCAGAAATCGCATTGAAGTAAAGATGAAGTGGCCTGAAAATGAACCATCAAACCCAAAGAATGTGCAAAAAGACAATGATGTGAATCCTGACACCTGTTCTTCTCCAAAAAGGAAACAGGGGAGGCCAAGGAAAGGTCCAAGCTTTTCACCTGAAAACTTTGCTAAATTTCAAAGACTGTATTCGGAAAAACTCAAGTCACAATCATCCAATAGTGTCTCCCAAAGAGACAGTAATTGTGATTCATCGGAAGTGCTTAAAGTAAGGATATCCGAGTTTGGAGACAGGGGGTTGAATAATAGTTCTGAAAAAAAGTTAATTGGACAGAATCCACCCAGGAAAATTTATGTGAAAGAAGGCCAGCTATTTAAATCAATTTCTTTTGGGCCTAATCAAACACTTGGTGTTAGTAGTAAAAATTCTCAAAATTCTCCTGAACAAATAGATCCCTCTGATGATGATGAAAATGAGGAGGTTTCGTCGGCTAATGGGGTTTCTGAGAGAGGCTTGAACTTTGCACAGGCTGTCAGCAATCTTACCAAGAAAGTGAGGAAGACACCAGGTCATAAACTTTGTAAACCTCCACAGCCATCTTTTGAGCGTAGTGCAATGTCTACTGAGGAACTTTTAGATTGTGATCTCCCACAGACCACTCACATAGTTGTGAAAGGTTACAGTGGCAAGGGGAAGCTGGATGTGTCTGCTATTGCACGAGCTGTCAAGTCCAAGGGTCTTGCACAGACTCGGCCAAATTCTCGTGTGCAGAAAGTTGAAGTGAAGATTCTCCAACAAAAAGATACAAGCAATAGTTTGACATCTTCTGCCCAGCCTCGTTCAGAAAAAGCTGTCAAGAGAAAAGGAACAAACAAAAAAACGCAAGGTGGATTTGACTTACTCTTTTCAGACTTTGGGTTTGTTGATCCTGATGATGAATCTTTAAAAGATGGCGAAGCAGAAGAAATGTCCCTTTCTGAAGGGAATAGTGGGTCTAATGCCTTTAACACACCATCAAACGATAAGAAGGCACCTTCTAGTATTTATGTGAAGCCTGTCCAAGGTCGAAGACGAAAGTGGGCCTCTCATTTTCAGCTATGTCGGCCAACTACAGAACAACCTGATGCACCTGACACACAGGACACATCCAGGAAAACAGAGGCAGTGGAAGCTGTGAAACGCCTGGTCAATCTTCCTGGGAAACCTCAAGTGTTGGCTTCCACTACAATGGGTAAAGATGGTGCAGAAGGTTCACAACAATTTAAACCATACATCAAAAAGTCACTTTCGGATGGTTTGCAGGTTAGGTATCTGTAGATGAGTTCATTGAGTCCTTTTTTTTTGGTGGGGGGGGGAGGGTTCTGTGCAGAAGTTGTTTGGCTTTTTGACAGACTGAAATTGAGCTATTTCAACTATTGTACTGACACAAGAAATTACCATGAATCTTAATGAAGAGATCACTGTTGATAGGTACAAAAGGAGGTGGTTTTACGCAATTTTACTGGAGATTCTCTTTTTATATTAGTTTTGTGCATGCCTAAAAGTGATGAGATCAATGAGAATCATATGTGCATGTTAGATTGTGTCATTGTCTGGAGTTGGTTAGACTTTAGAGTTTGAATTGAATACATACTTTTCTGAGCCTCTGTTGTTATGAGTGTTTAGTTCTCTACCATCAATCTTTCCTCCAAAATAGCATAGGTAGTGTTAAAAGAGAAGTTATTTAAAGAAGTTGAGACTCATATACAGTCATTAACTTCACTCAGACCGGAGTGAGGGTTTTGTTAAAACAGAAGAAATTGCTTGTATAGTAATCCTTCCATGTCATGTAATAACCCCTTTTTTTTATATTGTAGTGTAAGGCTATGTTTCCTTCAACTACCATCTCGTGCCTGGTCTTTTGAGAATTAGAGACAAGTATGGGTCTGAGATTGGGTCAGAAATTAACTGTAGCTCTCACTAAAAAGTTCACTGTCTCTTAGCTCTAATGGTACAGTGGGGTCCACTTAAACTGAAATCTGCGGGACCACCAGAATTTTTTCTGCTTAGCTGAGGTTTGAGTTTAGAGAGTTTGCTCAAATAGGAGAAAAGAATCTGGGGGATTTTATTTTCTTTTGTTTACCTAATGTTTTCGGATTAATCATTTTTTATTTGAGCGGACTCCACTGTATTTTCGTTCCCAGCCCCTATGCAAGAAGTTGATGGAGGAGATTTGTCCGAGTTTGATTGCAGTGTACTTACTATCATGTTTATATTTTAGGTTAATACAGACTTTAAATTTACGACACACTGAGCATTCACATTTGTTCAAATTTGTCGTGGTGTGAGTTGAGGTTGAAGGATGAATGAGAAACACAAAGTTAAATAGTGTTTTGCCAAGTTCTCAATATGCCATTTGAGGGAAAAGCATTCTCACAATATTTATTAGTCCATGTACAGTCTTTGTCATGTAATTTATGAGTGACCAGAATGCATAGAGTGAGAGTTCTGTGAGCAAGACTCTCTTGTTGTTTACAAAGTTCATAAAGAATAAAGTGAAAAATTGTTTGTCTTTTAGTTTTGTTCCACAGCATGATAAAGAAAAAATGTGTATTCTAGTAGAGAATACCTTGGAGATGAATCCATTTTTCTATATATAGGACCTTTCTATTTGTATGTTTGAGTTTGAATAGTTTAAATCTAAGTTTTGGAGAGGCTTTCTCCAATTTTGAAAATGTTTCCTAGTTTTGGGGTACAAGGAACTAAGTTAAAGGAGGTTTGCTTGCCTGATGGAAATTATTCTTGCAACTGTAAATGTGAGGCATAGTGGTGAAATTAGGCGCTCGTCAAAATAATGAAATCAAAGAAACTGGTATTTTTTTGGCTGCTGGGCACATTTAAAAAAAAATTTTTTTTGCTCAACACCTTTTATGTCCATTAAAAAACACATTCCTGTGTCAATTTGACTAAAAAATCATTGATCAAAGGCATAAAAATGTACAAGGACTCTCAAGTTTTGGAAGTCATCAAATTTTTGGTAGCCATTTTTTGGGGCTAATTTTACCTCTGACATCAGGCGTGAACCCCCACCTTTTTCAATCGGTAAATATCATAACTTCTACTCAAGATAAATGGGTATATTTTTTTTTCATCGAAAGCAAGATAAATGAGCATGCTTTAAGATTATACCGGTACCAATAATTCCAAATGCCCAAAAATTGATGAGCATCTGATTCCAGCACGGCATGACACAAATATATTTGAATTGTGGCCCAAGATGCTGGATATCTTTTTAGGGCCGTTTTCTTTTTGCAGATTTATGTTCTTGGAGTGAGTGTTTACATGTGTTGATCTCATGTTTTGTACAATTCCTGGCCAGTGTGAGGTGAACTGGCTCACAGGAATATGGTAGTAATAAACTCCCTCTTCTCCAGTGGTAGTGCTCTATTGAATTATCTTCAGGGTGATGAGGTCATACTCACCACATTAATATAATGAGTTTCAGTTAAAGTGCGGTCAAAAATTCGTGGCGCAACATTTTGTCAAATATTTCCTTAACTATTGAACATAAACTCTCAAGCTTTTGCACAAAGACTTGTATCAATTTGTCTTAGCAGATCAATGTTTTTGTAAACACCTGTTGGCTATATTCTAGAAAATTCCTTATTATATATATACTAATTAATAATCCTAGTGGGTGGTTCCTACAAATTTTAACAGGTTTACAGCTGGGACAACATGGGTTTTAAAAGCAAGTCTGTCATTTTTTTCTAATTGCGACATTATGCTTATATTGAATGTGTGTTTTGAGAAGTGTTCACTATAAAATTAATTTCCTGTATCAAGTTCTGCCACTAAAATGTCATTGGTAAGCTGTGACACAGGCCAAAGCGGGAAGTGCTGTGAACAGTCTAATTTTCCGTGTGACATAGATATATAGTATTTTATATAAATTTATGAAGGAAAGTCTTTTTATTATATCTAGCCTAAATTGTTGTAGAAAAATACAAAGTTAAAACAAAGTGATACAAACTACTGTGCAAAGTATGGGTGACACTGTATTGACTGATTCACTTGTTAAAAGAGATATTTGATGATAAGCTGGCCCACAAAATTTTCACTGCACTATAGTACGATAGTTATTAGTAAGATCAATCTGTCATGCATGATATGTACTGACCAGTCCAGTCCTGTGCACTTTGTATGGAGAATTATGAACCTAAATGGAAGACGCCGTAAGAGAGCTTGCAAGAACAAAACAAGGAATTTAGGAATTTACAGTTCCTTTTGACCAGAACTTGTTACATTGTTGACATTTGTTATGTTTTGACAACCTGAATAAAATATGTTTTGAAGAATGTGATGCTTTTATATTTTGTTTTTATTTTCATTACAGTATATAGGCCTAGATCTATATAAACTGAGCTTTTATAAGAAGGATTACAAAATCCCAGAAATATATTTGGGTAACTTTGACTTTTGAGATGCAGATGTATGTGCCATGTGTCTAACTACACATTTCCAGTGTTGAATGAGGAAAGAAATATAGCAGTAGCTGTGATTTGGTTCATCACCATTCTGCTGGAGCTGTTATTTTGTACCAATGGAAAATACATTCACAAATGCTGACAGTGAGGATGAACCTTGTGGAATGCCACCAGTAGCTTCTTGTGTGAAACAGATTTCTTTATGCTTACTTTGGGGTTGGGCGTTTCTTTTTCTGTTATTAAACATTGAATATGGTGAAAATGACAGGGTGACTGGAGAGTGTCACTGGTATGTCCTTCCTACTTGTCATCATTGTACCGACTTGTTATAAACCTCAGTTCCACACACACAGCCCAGGTTCAGATCTGGCTCTTAGAGATTTACACTATTTAAAAAAAGAACTATAGAGGTATAAAGGAGTGGAACTGGTTGACATAAGCCGGCAAAACAGGACTAGATCTCAATCTGTTACTGTTTCATCTTGAAAAAGCTGTACAAAATCTGTTTCAACTCGAAAAAGCTGTTCATACAAGTCAAGGGTATACTTTTTGCAATATGGAGGTCAATTCATGGGACATCATGGCAGTGTATTGCAACAATAAGAAAAGAATCCCGACTTGTCACTCCACAACCACAGAAACTCCTGTCTCTGTGTAATTGAGCCTATATGAACACAACTGGACTGTGGGGGCTCTCGTGGTCTAGAGGTTACGATGTTTGCCTCTCATTCAATAGGTTCCGCAAATTTTCTCCTTTCCTACTCTCTAACCATGTTCTGTTTGCTTTCTTCTCCACTCTCTGTCCCCTCTTCTGAGCTCCTGACTCTTTCTGCAACCTTTCTACTGCTACTCCTTGGCTCCTTCTTGCTGCTGTCTTTCAGCCACACCCCAGATCTTATGGTGGGAAAGATCTAACACCTAGCCTTTTCGGATAAGGGCAAAAAAAACTTGGAGGTCACATGTTCAAGTTGTTAAAGATCCCTTGATTGTCCAAAATCGATGAGTGGACTTCGACCGCCACCTGAGCAAAATTCGAAATTCCTACCAAACAGAAAATGTTTAATGTGTCTTGCACGCTCATATGACCCTATGTAGTTGCGAGTGCCGTAAAACACCCCCCAAAAAAATAAAAATACTAGACTGCACAAGACATAACTCATTCTAAGTAACGTGGTGTCAAAAAGGACTCAACAGTACAAATACACTTTCTCTCCTTTGTGTCGAGACTTTAGTGTAGTCATGCAACGTTACCATTCTCCTTCGCTAAAGATTTTCAACTTCTACAAAATTAAAACGACGAGATTGCTGCCATCAGTCAAGAAATAAGACCACGTGAGATGGTACATGTCACATGTAGTATACATAAAGCAACAACCAAGAGCAATTTATTTTAGGTCAGTTTTATTTCATGTGTATTAAATAGGGCTTGCAACAGACTATAATCTCAGTAAATTAATATACATTCAGATAGAAGAGACTGACATTCAACTCCATCATAACAACTTGCCTAAAGATTCCATATATATTAATATTAAATTCATTTTCTATATAGAATTCATTAATAATTAATCCTCTGTGAAAAGGTGTGGTACGATCAGATAGGAAAATGTACTTTAATTTCATCTTTAATTAAATGAAACTGAACACAAACAAACTGGACCGACACTGTTTTAAAACTGTTTATTCTACCAAGTTAAATACCATTTGAAAAATGCCTTCCAATGTTTTAAACAGAAAGCCAAAAGCTTTGATAATAATGAAAGACTTCACAAGATAAAAACAAAGACACCAATTCAGGAGGAGGGAGATAAAAAAAAGCCTAAGAAAAACCAGCATGGGGTAAGACCTCTTGTATCTGCAGTATTGGTACCTGCAAAGAAACTTGTAAGCACGCTAATCAATATGTCAACCTGATGTGCAAGGGGAATAAATGTGGCCTACATTTCCAATACAATTTCTATTACATTACATTGCTGCGGAGTAAAATGTGAAAGAGAACCAAAATCCATTTCTTACACCTGTGTAGGTAATGCCAACATGTAAAATGAGTATATCAAAAGCCAAAGGAACAAAATAAAGGGAAAATGTAGTGCCTTTAGTAATTATAATCTAGGCCAGATACCATGCACATTTTCCTGACAATAAATAAGTCGCTTGTTGCTTGGGTATTGTGGTGTAATAAATAATGACATCCACGTTTAGCTGATGACTGAGTTTAAGATAAGGGGATACACTTGCATGTGAAAAGAGATATTTTCCTGGGATTGGTGCTTCTTCACGCAATCTTCAAATAAACGTACAAAATACATTTTAACCAAGATTATGATGAATCAAAGATGAGGTCATCACTGCAGTTATGGCATGCACAGCATGATAACAAAATCTAACTATTAAAAAGAGTCTCTTCTTACTATCTGAAACTCACCTAGAAACTAATCACTTCTGCCTATGGCATCTCTGAGCATGCTGTCAATACTCTCACTGATACTACTCACTTCCAAGATATTAAGAAAACAACTGGACAAGACACACAGATTATTATCACCAAGAGCTACAATTATACAAACATATTGGGCGTATATATACATGTAAAATATAATCTAAGGAACCACCCAAATACCTGAAATCACACTGGGCTTAGGGTCTTTTGTACAGAAAAGTAAAAAGTAAAAGCAAGGCCCTTAGCTTTTATTACAACAATAATGAAGAGGCAGCAAGACAGTTCAGACACAATGCTGATCACAGTATGGAATGTGAACACACACACGCACACTCCCACTCAAACTCAAACATCTATTCATGATACCTCCATAATTGCCACAATGAATAAAAATAACAACTTCTCAATATACATGGGCAATACTTAATTCATTCATATGAGATATTTGTGATAATTCCACAGTGGCATTGACGTGGTAAAATACCAGTCAATTATAAAGTCATGGTACTACATTACTGCTCAAAGCTCTTTTTGTCTCTACAAGAAAAACACAACTCATGAAGTTTACATCCTTGCAAGCTATAAGTAAACTCTAGAAATGAGATAGAACAGATGAACTAGGTCAGTGTGCTAGCAGGAGATACACATAACAAGCCTTAAAGTTGGAATTATATCCTGGGTATAATATAATCGGCAAACAAAGATTTCAAATCCTAAAAGCGATCAGCAGAAAAGCACAGCTGTCACCCATTGCTGTTATGACACTTCATATAATCTACTTAACCTACACAGGTGTCTTTGGCTACAATTCAGAATCAGATGTTGATTCCTTTCTCTTGTGTAAGATTTCTACATTTTCATCAGTTTAAAAGAGCTTGGAGACATTGTGAGAATGATAATCGTTATCAAAACATGAACAGCAGCAGCTTCAGCAGACCAATATTAATAGTCAATACTAAGCTTGAATAAAAAAAATGCAAAATCTAAACATCAAATTTTCCAGGTAAAGAAAAAAATCAACAAAACAACACCCCCCCACCCCCAAAGATACTGACTTAAAAAAAAAAAACCCCAAATACCAAAAAAGCCACTACTTTATGTTAGATGTTTCCTGTTTTCTCTCCGAGACTGATAAGTAGAAATTCTGAGATACTTACAAGATTATCAAGATTGTGAACTACATCAAAAGCATTCACACAGCGGCATGCACATAGCTATAAAACAAATGTGATCAATGCTACAGAAGTCAAAGCACTTTCAAATCATGGGAAATGAACCCAACCCAATTGATTTTGTAAAAGATAAGAACAAATAATACAAAACTAATAGCATATATATTAAAAAGGCACAAAAGCATGAGATTATTTGAAAGTGATTTCACACTCACCTTTCTAGTGCATGCCTCTCACACAAGACTAGCTATTTTTTTTAAAAGTGCTCATATTTCAAACAGGGATTTTCCCTTTCAGTAAGCTTCACATGATTTAGTTGCAGCAAGTGAAGACAAATACCACTGAGAACCCTCCTCACAATGAAGACGACACGATAATAGTGAAAAACTGAGACAGGTTCAGGTCATTGCATAACTCTTGTGGTCAACTGATTCCTTATCTTCAGAGACGCACAGACAAACGGGACAGTTCAAAGTAGTCTAACTTCTCTTTTATGGCTTGCTTTTCCACCCACTACGCTGACAATGTACCATTTTACGCATGCTTTGTTCTCAATATTCTCATGTACAGCTTAAAGAGGAAAGATAAAAACATGGGAAATTCACCATAATGCAGAACAAAAGACGTCAAAAGTAATGTAGAAATAAGATCATCTTTTCAAGAATGACACATGTTTTCATAAATCTTCACAATAAATCTGTTTGTACCAGGTGCAAATTTGACATATGACAGATGACCAATCCGTAGAATACTTAGGACCTTTGAGGGGACAGAAATGATTATGCCGCAAGACTGACATGCCTCCTTTGTTTGACTAGAGGGCTTCAAGTACATTGTGCCTATTTTTCGAGGACACCCTAAAAAGAAATTCAAATAAACCTGCCAAAGTGAAGGTGGACAAAAGGAAAACAAATACAACCATCCCAAATAACACCATTCAAGTCTCTGTCAAGGAAAATACCAAACAAGGTAAAGACTCGGAACCTCTGACCACCCTTCACTTCCCTAACTTATTATTACTTTGTTCCCTTTCAACATTTGACTTGTCAGGATGGACGCAACTAATTTGAAAAATATCTAACTTTCTCAACTCACAAATCGCTGAAGTTTTCATGAATTATATTCTCCATTCATAGATTCCGAATGTGACAACAAAACTTTCATATTCAGAAATGTGGGCACAAGTGCTTGCTAATGCTCCACAAAATCTCTTTATCATTGCTGACCTTCCTTTTCTCCTTTGAAACCCCTTTGTTCTTGTCTGTAGTTGGCATGCGGAGTCACAAGAAACCATGTCTAGCACCTGAGGTTATAGCGGAGAAATTCAGTGTGACACCATAAGGACTGCTTCAACACTGAAATGGGTTTTGCTGTGATATGATGAAATGAAGGAAGTGTTTAGGACGCCGTGAGCTAGGAGCCCACCTTGGCTATTAATTCATCACAAATGGCTGTCAGCTCTTGATTCTCCTTCTCCTGAAAACAAGACAAGAGTTATAACTTATTAGAGACAACTTCACAATATCCTTTTTAAATCAAAAACACTGTTCAAAGAGTTGAGGTAAAGGTCTTCATTGAAATGTACAAATAGGCACATCTATTCAACTTTACAGGACAAGAGTACCAGTAACACCTCACTAAAATTGTAACATAATACAAATGACATATCTTTACACCATCACTTAATTCTTTTCTTCAGTTCATCAGGATTGTGTACAAATGCACATGGGACAAGAAGGGACATTTAACACATAATAATAAATAGCATTTGTATAGCGCATATCCCCGCTCAACAGCAGGCTCTTTGCACTTTACACTATATTATTACCCCAGCAGACCACAGTACACCCCGAAACATTCTCAGCTTTCCGGGAAGCATACAAAGCAAGCAGCTGATTAAGCGCTCAAACACAAACAAACTGACAAGATCTTTCACTATCTATAGCCGGTACCCATTCCCACCTGAGTGAAGTGAGGAAAATTCGTGTAAAGTGCCTTTCCCAAGGACACAACGTCGGGCACCTGACGGGATTCGAACCCATGACCTTATGGTTGCATGTACCATTGAAAGCAAGCAAAGACAACTGTATGGCTATCAATTAGAGCTATCAGATCCACTTCAAAGCATCATCCCTCTTGTCTGATATTATTTACCAATTTGAGCAACGATCCAGGCCTTAGTCTCATTTCTTGACCAAGTAATAGTATTGGCAAGCAGTATGTTACTTACTTTATTTTGTAAACTGTCTTCTAAACCAGAGATGCGTAGTTCTGCCTTCTTCAATGCAGCTTCCAAACGTATTATATCCTGTTTTGTTGTCTTCTTTATCTTTTCAATATCCTCATTCGCTCTGAGGATAAAAAGCATTAAAAAAGATATAAAAAATCTACTGACTTATTCTTAAATGTCAGAGACATGAAAAAAATATTCTAAAATTGATACCTTTGCATTTAAAGACATTACAGTAACTTAACACTTTTCACTGAAAACTGCACGTATTGACCCTTTAGTAAGAGGATTCATTATGATTCTGGTGAAAACTTCATGGAGGTTTTGAAGGTGCTTTATAAGGTTTAAGTCTAAACCCTTGGGGAAGGAAATTTATGGCTGCCTCTGTTTCTTCTTAAGCTCTTTCAACTTTAAACACCCCTCCGTCATGTGTTGTATTTATAATTTGCAACCAACATGACACAGTCTGGCTGAGGGTGAACATCAATGCTTCCTGCAGGCATGTAATGTATACTTTTTTTTTTACATATCCACTTTCCATAGCAAATGAATCACCTAAAAAAAACACTTTTTGCCCTTTACTGAAGAGAGCGTTGCCCTCAGTGCTTTTTGATTGACAGAAAAAGATAATATCATTATGCTCAAATCCTTTTTAGCACTCTATAATTAAAATTCGAAATCTTGCTTCATGCATAACTCATCTTTTCTTTATCAGTCAGGCATTTTTTTTGTCACGAAGCCTCAGAAAACATGTCTTTCAAAAAGTCAGTATCATGCTTATTGTATCAAAATTATTTAAAAAAAAAAATAAAGGCTTCAAAATCAATTCCTCGCAAAGAAATTTTAGGGCAGATTGACATGTCATGCCACCCTATCAACTATTCAAAATCAAAACCATTGCTCCTTATAAATGTTCATATTTAAAAAAAACTTGATTTTAACACAGAAGCATAATACTTAAGGGTCCTTCCATAAGACTTTCAGCCACAGCAGACCCTAACACACACATAATACATAGATTATTTTGTCTCACCTGTCTAACTTCTCCTCAGCCTGAGACTTCAAGGACTGCATCTTTGCATCCGACTTCTTCAGTTTTTCTTGCAAGTCGCTGACACAGAGCTTCAGCTGCTCTTCATTCTGAAAATATATAATTTGTGTAAATCAATGAAAAGCAAATTTTCATGGTAACAATTACATAGGGCTGAGAAAGGGAAAGACAGGCAGGAGCAAAGATGGGTCTCAAATAAGTAAGATCTATCAGTGGGTCCTTCTACTCACCTATGTCCAGGGATGTGGGCAACAACAAAATTTGAAGACTCAAAAGAGGGCAACTTCCTCTTTTTCAACGGAACCCATAACAACACCTCCTCCATCCTTTTAACACACATGTCAAGCTTGGCACTTCTAAAATATTTGAAATCCTCAAACCATGTTGGGGAGCATTTTAGTAGGAAAGAAAGACAAAACACAAAACAAATTACAAAGTTAATTCACAAATTTCTTGTGCTCCAAACTCCTTTTCACTTGGCAATGTAGGTTGCACCCATGTGATAAACACTGGACTACTGAGACAATTTAAATTAAAGAGAAAGCAAACAAAATAATATAAGTAAAAAAATACAATGACTAAACAGCACAATCCACAAGATCAACATTTTAGGTTTTATGAGCATCAGTTACAATATGGGGGCTTGAGGCAACTCACAATTTTGAGCCTTTAAAGCCAAGCAGATCCTTTCCCTTTAAGTAATAACACCATTTGTCCCTCAACAAAATCTTTCTTTCCGAGTATAACTGTCAGCATTTTCATTCTTTTGTGGACACTCGCAGCCACAACTCTTGTCATTCACATCCAAACACACACCCTTTTATCCTTAACTGCCAGTCCACCATTTTTCAACCACCACCCAATGTCCCTTACCCTTTTGAATCCTTCAATGATTGTTTTACTCTTCTCATAGCGTCTGTGCAGGTCTGAGAACGCTGACTCCACAGACTGAAGATCTTCAAGGGCCTGTGAGACAGAAAGAGAGAAAGAATAGAAAGATGGAAATGCATGGAAATAAAAACTCCCCACAGTTGTTATAACTATTTTCGACAACACATTTTGATTTTCATGCACAAAAACTAATGAATACTTTTGACAAGGTACATAAACAATGATGCATGTCTACATTAAACACTTGTTAAAGTTTGAACCTAAATACAACCAAGGGACAAATGCCATTTACAACAAAGGCACAGAAATAAGAATAATCTTGTCCACTTAAACCAAATTTTCATTATATTCATTGGAGCATTTCAGGAATAGATTAGAAAAAGCTTGTAACATAAAGTTTAACAACTACAAAATCTCACATTTCTATAGAAGCCAGATAACGTAACCGGGAGCAATTCATTTTTAACAAAAACAATTCAGAAGAACACAGAAAACAAAAAAGACTCTAGAGAACTAAAGCTTTTAATATGAACATATCTGGAAACAGTTTGGGTCTTGAAAAAGTCAACTTTTGAGCAGATTAAAAAGCCAAAGCATCACTAAAAAACAGAAAAAAAGTGGTTGCAACCTGAAAAGAAACACACATACGAATGTTTATTCTTACTCTAGGGCGACAGCTATTGCAAGAAAAAAGAATAGGGATTATTCTGAACAGCATGAGATGTACCTGGTCTCTTTCATGTTCAACGGACTGAAGACTTTTACTAGAATCCGTTCGAGTCTTTTCTTTTTCAGCTGCAAAGAGAGAGAGAGAATAATAACATTTATCAGCTCAATAACAGGTGTCACAGTGGCGACGTGCAATAATGTGTAGGTTATCTATGCTTTGTGAAACTGTGTATTATTCACATATTTATGCATTCATGAATTGGATATGCATGCCTATGCTTTAAAAAAAATCCCAAGGGGATTATTAAAGTGGAATTTATTTAAAAAAAAAATTTTTTTTAGACCAATGTTTAAACCCTATCCGTACGACTGGGGTGATTTTGTACCCCAGGGGTTGTATCCTTCACAATTTAGAATACTTCTGGTGCAAAGATCTCTTTGAAACTTTCAGTATTTCTAAAAAAAAATCATTTTGACAGCCTGCTATGCAAAGCGTACGGATCGGATTAACGAGTAAATTTCCTCTTTGGAAAGTGGGGGCACAGAGTTCCCCATGTCGTGTGGATACGATAGTAAAACATGACGTATGGATAGGGTCTAAAAACAATAAGTATGGGTTTAAAATGTTCAGTCTTTTTCGAAGTAACATATCTGACAATAAAACATAAGTTCAGCATTATGTTTCTTTGTGCCTTAAAATTTTTTAAATGTGTCACTTCTAAACAGCAGCACCATGCTAATAATAGCCTAAAGCAAGGGAAACCTTTAATAAGTTTCAGAAAAGAAAAAGAACTATTTTTTTTCAAAACAGTCCCTTGACAAATTTCGGGGAAAAAATGCTACATTGAATTATGAAATAAAACCATTACATAAAACTTTCAAGGGCATGTCTCTTGTATATTTTTCTCATCAAACTTAAAACCCTACAATCCACTTCAGAATTTAGTTCCCTTACTGGAATTACACACAGAAAAAAAATTACTTCACAACATGACAAGAATGATGGCAACACTTCTAAAAAAGACAAATTATAATACAACATAAAAGTAACAATAAAAAAAGCACAGAACTTACCCTGCAATTGAGAGATAGTTTTCTCAAATTCTGTCACAACCATTCTGGAATAATAGAAAAGGAAACCTTTAGAACAATGAACATGAGAACAATGGATGCTCATAGTAGTCTTTTACACTGCCCTCTTCTTTGAAAAAAACAAACCCCGGAAAATTCTCTCATATGCAGACTGATTTTCGATAATCAACCTAAACATAAAAAGATGTGTTTAACAAGGAATGGCTCCACAGCTTCCCACTTTTTCCTTCTTCTTCTGTCTCTCCAACACACACACACACACACACACACACACATTATAGTATAATACATTCACACAGGTAAACATAAACACATATACCCATACACGCATGCACAGCACATACAGAAATGTAGAGTGCAGTGCAGAGTTGTAATTCGCAACAAGCCAGCAGGACAACAGTCACATGTCGCTAGGAACTGATAAAGACAACAGAAACATTGAAAAGAAGTAAAAGGAGCAGACAATACCAAAAAGCCTACTGAGAATCAGTAGAGTCGGAGAAGAAGAGAAGAAAAAAAAAAGGAGAGAGAGAGAGAGAGAGAGAGAGAGAGAGAGAGAGAGACAGACAGACAGACAGACAGACACTGACAGATGGTCATTAGACACACAGACAAAGACAGAGACACACATACACATACAAAAACACACGCATCATCAAGGAAAGCCATGCACATGGAAATGAGCAAAATAACCAGAAAAGAGCTAAACAATCCTAAACACCTCATATCCTCATTGGTATGTTTCAGTTTGCGGTTGGCGTCTTCTAGACCGGAGATCTTCTTGTCGCGGTCCCCCAGAAGGAGGCTCCAGTCTCGCTCCTTGTTCAGAAGACTTGTCTGAAAGTTCAACTCCTGCTCCTGCTTCAGCTTGTTCCAGTCTGTCTGGGAGTAGCGCAGGACCTAACAGCGGAGGGGATGGACAGGGAGAAGTAGAAACAAAACAATAATCATATTTTACTTCAGGCAATGGTGACAACTGCTTGGGTAACAGTTTAGTAAAGTTTAGTTCAAAAGCTCTCCATAACAACGACAAACAGTATTATTAAAACCATGAAAACTTCTTACACGTAGAAGTATTCCTTTAAAATAGTACAAAATCATTCAAACTCAAGAACATGCATTATAAACATACACTCTGAGCCACTTTTCATTCAACAGCTGCACATTTTGTTATCCATTATGGTTTTGAAGGAATAAGCATGGCATGTTAGAGGAATAAATAAAAACTATCCATCACTTGAATGTACAGCAATAATCTGAATATCTTTGCATCCCACTAAATGTGAATTCTGTTAACCAGCAAAAATGCATTAGACAAATCTATGTTATACTATAAAAGCTATTCTGAATGCACTTTACCACAAGATTTTTAATATTTAAACAGGATATTTTGGGGGGGTATTTATATATATGTTGGGCAACTTAACCCCTTCATGATACAAGGTTAGTCTGTGCTTCAACGGGCACAGTTTTGGATCCACAGGGTCAAAGAATAAGGCTACATTTAGCAGTCGTTTCTCTCAATATAGATCTGGTTGGTAAATACTACTATCTAAAAGGAAAAAATACCTCTGTACAGAAAAAAATATAGCTGAATGTGAACCTGCCATTAGTTTACGAAGTACATCTAATAGAAGCAGTATGCTGAATACAAACTATGACGGCATTTGACATCATGGTCTTTGCGCTTCGCAAGGCCTGACGAACACTGTTCATCACAGCAGCAGCTTGCTTCCTTCGCCGTACAAGAAAAATGACGAACGGCATGAGCCATGTAGGCCACGAGGGGGTTAATTGTACTATTTGTGATCCTTTCAAACAGACGAAACAGTGTTGCACACATTACTATTGATTAAATTGTGTAGTAAATAATAACAACTATTTAAAACTGAAATAACGACCTTACAGGTGACCTGGGAGAATGACAGCCACAAATGGTCAAGTACAATTCTCAGTCTTCCTCCCAAATGCTCAAACTAGAAGTGTTATATCTCTTGTTTATCATGTCTTGGTGGGAAATGGATAGTTGATGAGTTTCTGGATAAAACTCTTTGAGAACAAAGTAGAAAAAAATAATTGACATACAAATGGCTGTTTTTTGTTGTGTTTTTTTTAGGGTGGGGTGGGGGGGCAACTATCGCTTTAAAACTTTCAATACGACCTAAGAATAAAAGGAGAGTAATGTCTTAAACTGTAATAGCTGCAGAAAGCATTTCTTGGGGAAAAAAATTTAATTAAATCCTGCAGCTAACTATTTTAGGGGAAAAATAAAACTTAATACTATCACAGTTTAGCTGACTAATGAGTAAAAAGAAATAAAATCAAATGCAGGTAACCAAACAGATATTTAAATTCTAAGCAGTGCTTTTTATAGCTTTTGAAAATAAATGTGATATGAGGTAGGCATATTACACCTTATACCAAGAAAAAAAAGATGAAATAGAATTCTACAGTCAATTAAATGATTTTAAAGTCACTTTACATCTTACTATGACTGTATAAAATCAATTCAGTGAGAATATAACGGACTGAGAAGACTAGTTTTCAGCAATAAGCATCATGTAGGACTACTGCTACTCTGTAAGAAAATCTCAACAGAACTAAATGCAGACAATTAAGCAAAGAAGTACTCGAGCTGGACTTTTCAAGTTGAAGTTCTGAAGTCTGACTGTGAGTCACATTACTCAAAGCAGGACAAAAATGGGCAGTTGGGTATTGAGCATAAGGACAACTGTAAGCACCTGTTCCCATTTAACGGCAATAAATTGAAACTATTGGCAGGGCAAAGGATTTGCTGAAGCACTTGAACACTTTGTCTATGTCCAAGTTACTGGCAATAAAAGCATAAACTACAACATGTCTAAAAGAGGGAAGTTGAAAAAAGTTGCCAGGGATCAGATGAAGCAGAACAGACCAAGAGAGAACAACAGGACCAAAAAGAAAGAGCAAGCAATTAAGACAGTTTGGTCTAAGATCTACTTTCAAAGAGAGAAATGATCCTATGCGGTTTTTAAAAATATGCCTTTATAATTTCTAATATTGGCAGCATATAACTTAATGCTTTTTGAAGAATAGCATAGGCTAAAATGGTGGCATAATTCCTAATCTATAATTAGTCTACAGAGCAAACAGAAAAACAAGAAAAAAAAACTTAAAATGTTTTATCATTCTTTTTAAGTCCAGAATCGAGAATTAATCTAGTAAAATATTAGTTTCCTCCACACCACATAGTCCATGACACCATGACGAGGTTAATATAATCTGATCTAACATAATCATGCTTTCTCAAAATCTTACCATGCACATATCACAATAAATGAATTAAATAGACATAAACTGACAATTCAGATGAATCTGTAACATGCCGTGGTTATAAAATTCAGGTCATTTAGTCAAGTGCCAAAAGACCATGGCACATACAATGTAATTCACACAGTGCAAGCTTTGATATTCATGACTTGTGTGCGGCAGGAAAATGGTTTTCGGACAACAGCTTTCACAAATCACCAGCTGAGATTAATGTGGGGTGGTGACAAATACATTCTGCACTCAAACATGCTTACTCAATATACTCCAGTAGGCCGATTTGTTATGGCACTCCACAATGATTTACCATTATAATTCACATATTGGTTTCCGGCATGCTTGCTGTTATTCATTTGTTTATTGTATCTCATGCTGTCCTATATTGTGTATAAACTGGGAATATGCACAGGTAATAGCATACCCTGCTTAGGTCCATGTCGTGTTTACATGTGTGCTTGTATGAGAAAAAATAACATGGTTCAAGCATTTTTTTTCTTTGTTACATTAAATATTATGCAACCTTGTGTCAGCAGATGTAGTTTCTAGAGACAAATATGCCTCTTCTGCTTCAACAGCTATCATCCCAACAAAGGAAAGTGAGAGGACCTCAACAATCAAAACACAGAGCCACTCTATTGCATACTCCCCTGAGACAAAACAGGAGGAATAGACAGAGAAAAGTAGAAAAGGAAAGAAAGACAGCAAAACTGAAAGAAATAAAAGTAGTCAAATATAAGGAAAGAACACACGTAATCACATGGAAGGAAAGGGCATTGGTTTGTTTCAACTTACAAAAGCGTATGAACACACTAATACGAAAACCTTTTGTGATAGAGAAGGTAAGGGTTAAAAAAGAAACCAAGGCAGTCTTGTCATCGGTTAGGAGAGTGAGGAACAACAATTTAGAAAAGAAAATCGCATTGTGAAAAAGCAGGCAACTGTGGCTAAGCCTCAGGTGATCGGGAAAACGAAGAGGAACAAAGCGGAAATGGACAGACGATATGTCCAGACCACAGCATCAACAATATGTATACCCATGTTCTCTGTGTGAGTGTGTGTAAATGTATGTAAGTTTGTGCAAGTGTGTGCATTTGTGTGCCTCCGTGTGTGCGGATGTGTGGTTGCATGTGTGTATGTGTGTGTGTGTGCGTGCGTGCGTGTCTATGCATGCACGTTCACAATAAAATGGGAAGTCTGTAAACATGTTTAAATGAGTGTCTGTGTAATTTATTAATGCACATTCTTCTAGAGAGAGTGTAAGTGTAACTGGAATATCGTGTGTGAATGTACACACACTATATAATTTTGTTGACACGCTTACATTAATGCGCTCTGATGTGTATGTGAGTGTGTGTGTGTGTGTGTGTGTGTGTGTGTATATGTGTTTGTCTTGACATGTATGTGTAGGAGTGTGCTTGTACTAACGTTTCATGCGTGAAGTGTGTAAAAGAAACAATAATCATCTCTTTGTTTGATTAAGCATTCAATGTGCAAAACAAAATTATTTGACAGCTAATAAAAGCTCATTGAATGTTACCACACCTGACAAAATCTAAAACAAAAGATAAACCATCTCAAATTCCAGTCATAACGCTCATTTTTCAAGGTCTTATAGTATAGCGACTTCAAAGTCAGCTGTCAGCTGATGGTATAAGGCTGCAGAGGATATCCAGATTAGCCTTATGTCCAAATCCTCATAAAAGAATATCAGTCAACTATTTATTAACAATTTGTATCCAAGTAAATAACCTTTTTTTTTTCAACCAAGTAAAGTAATTTTCCAAAAACTATGTTTCTACGGTAACTACAGCAAGCAGATGTGCATTAGTCCTTTTTCACTGAAACAAAAGCTTCATAAAAATACCATCACTAAAACCAGAAAGTTAATTATGCATAAGTGCATCAGAACCATCCCCCTGTTGATTTTCTTCATCAATCTACAGTACGAATGCCAGACAGCTAGCCCAGAGAGGAGAGACAGTGAGGCATGGTGAAAATTACCCAACAAAACTAATTCATCTTGTTGCATCCAATAACAAAAAAAGTAGCCAATCAGAAATACAAATCATCATTTTGTCGATATTCATATTTGTTAGTAGGCTACTTTTTTATATAAATAATAATGGCACAACTGAAAAGAAATGAAAAATTGCACTAATAAAAATATCAACTGAGCACAGAAATGAACAAAAGCTCAAAGCCAATGTCAGTATCTCAGCTAGCTCTTTAGAAAAATATTTTAAAAACTAATAACAAAGTGTCTCAGATTGGCTAAATTTTTTGCCTTTGGAAAGTATAACAATCAAATGGTTTTAACGACAATCTCCATCCAACCTAGGCAAAACATATCAAAGAGCAAAGAGGCAAGGTGGGTTTCAAAAGACTGTGTTAGAATGTTGCTAGCCTGGCTCCGGCTGCAGTTCCACATAGCAAATGTGGATCACTGAACAAGGGAAACCAGTACACACACAAAGGTCTTCAGAATGAGGGCAGGGCTTCACATTTCAATGAATATATATTTTCCGAAGTAACTGAAAAGATTTAATTTGCATAAGGCTTAGCAGGTTTAAAGGACTGAGAACGAAAATTCTAGGATTCTTAAGAAGGCTTACTCATTGTGAGGACTTTCAAAGAATTGATTTGGCCTGATACGTTCTGTTGAATTCTTAATGTCCTAAATGTATAGAATAATTGCTTTGAACAGCTTATTGCAAATGAGTATTCTACAGTTAAAGGAAAGTGTTACTTGAAAAACAACAAAAGGGTTGAAGCTCACTGTTTTATTGAAAAATTGTCTTGCTGTCTTCATGCCCAAGGACAAAAAAATTTTAAGAAATAAAATGTGCAATGTGCGCCCATGAATTAAAAGTGTGCAAAAATTTATGTACGGCTAGACTTCTTGTTTTGTGCACTAATCAGAGTGTATATTATATGTGTACCAAAATATTATAACCATCAAGTGAAAATGTATCAGTTCTTAAGAGCAATAATAATTGAGTGCGTCAGAGTAAAAGAAGACAGAAATAAAGGAACAGAACGGGGAAGAAAATAACGAGACAAGAGAATAGAAAAATAGAAAAAAAACGTAATTATATCCTCTATCCTTAGACAGAGATGAGTGAGTCTTTTGGGTCTTTTTTGCAAAGTGACTTGGAAAGAACGTTTAAAAAGTGAATACAAACTTCAATAACAAGTGTGCTTTCTTTTTGTAGAGAAACGATAGTGTATGAGCTGTATTGGTCTGTGTTTTGCCTTCAGATGAAGTCAGATATAGCTAATTCTTTCTTGTAGCACTGATGGATTTCACCATGACTGATCTTGGTAACTATTTGTCCTTGGTGATAAGGTTATAACAATATATGAAACTAATGCTGTTGCATTTTTGAAGGAGTAGCAGATATTTTTCTTATGAAACTTGTGCTGCTTCATTTGTTTTAACTCATAGATTTATAAAATTGTTTACTGGTACAGAATTTTTAGAGACGTATCGGACCTTTTGCCTACTTAGTATATTTAAAAAGAATAAATATAATCATAAATGAACATCATATCGTGTCTTCAGAATAATTCTACTTTTTTTCTTTCTAGTTATCTGAAAATGTGGCGAAATTGTTTTTAAAAAAGGAAAAGAGAATATTGGAGTCAAATGAAAGGAAACAATGAGGGAATTGTCAATAAGTCTGACCAATTTTGAACAAAAAATTTGGTAAAGACCTCTGGTATATATTTAGGATATTCTGGAAAATGTACATACCTCTACCCTCATTCATTGAAGAAAAACAAAATGAAACCAATGACATGAAACACGGATTATCCTGGTTATTGCTAGGTGAGGAGGGTGATGACACAAAACAAAATCAAAACAACTGCACCCATGCACACAAAGTAGAGGCTTCGGGTAGATGGGAGTTACCTGGCCTTTGTCACTGTCCTTAAGAATTACAAAACGAAAGGGTTTGTCATATAACAGAAAATGAAGCACGACGCAGCAAATGAAGAAGCAGAGCAAAACTTACACCGATAGGGGTAAACAAAAATCTTTAAAACAACACGGTCTTACATGAACATTTCAGCAAAGCTGTTTGACTGGCCTGAATTATTTTTAACCAACTTTTTTTAATGTTAGATTTCAGACCCATTTCCTACAAATAACAGCATATCAAATTTCAGATGTCTTACCACTAGTGATGTTGATGTCAAAAGGACAAAAATTAATGCAGATCTCTAAGCAAACATTTATTACATTGTCTCAATCTACTGAAATCATTGATGAACTATTTAAAGCACTTCTTGAAGCTGTATTAACTGTTGAAACTTTCAGAATTTTCCAAATATGACTACAATTGTATTTCAGAACTGTTAAAAATCAAGACTACTTGTTATTACCTATGATAACAACGGATACAGATAATTCACATTAACATTTTGAAAATTATGCCAGTTTGGGAAACTGGGTTTATAAAACAATAAGCTTTGCTGAAAGTTCGGTTATCACAAAACTGAAAACGCCAGAAACCATTATCACTGTACATATCATATGACTTGTTTGATGATTCCATGATACTATGGCTGTAAGTGCAACAGATAGGTGCAAGAGCAGAGGCACAAAGGGTAATCCAGCCCCCATTCTCTGACTATAATTAAATGCAACTGTCGCAGCAAAACCGAACTGGAAATATTTGTCAAAATCAATACAAGACATTTGTCTCACCAGAATACGTTAAATATTCAAGGACAAAATATATTCAATTATTTAAAAAGAAAACAGGTGTCCAACAACAGAAAACTGAAACACAAAAAACTGGTCAAATAAGCGAAAGTAAGGATTAGTTACCTTTTTGTTTAAAATACGGGGCCTAGACTATTAAAAATATACAACCATTTGACACATTTCTCGAAGCATAATCAAAAATAAACTTGAAAAAAAAACATTATTACGGGGACAATTCAAAATGAGAGTTAAGTTGTGCTCCATAAATTGAAGAAATCAACAAAGATTATGGATATCTAGATCAAAGCATCATAGCAATTTTTTCTTTTTCCCTAAATATTTCAATATTACTTACTTTACTTTACTTTACTTTTCCGATCCAGCGGCCATTTGGCTTCTAGCCCTTCGGTCTGATTTCAATATTACAAAACAATAATTTTATTTTGTTGTTTAAAAATAAACCCCTTGAGACAGAACATTTCCTTTTCATGAAACAGCCAACCGGTCAACTGAACAATACAGAAGATCAACTTCTGTTGTCACTTTCCTGAAGCATTGTCTTTTGTCTGTAGAGATTCAATACCTTTACCCTAAAAACATCTGCACCTACACAACTCACACTGGATTACAAATCCACAGTTTTCACTGTAGCGAAGCTTATCAAACACCCTTTTCCAGTTATAATGCTGTAATAGCTTCAAACTTAAATCTCATTTTGAGGTATCACAAGACATCTTAACTTTCAAGCAAACAAATACATCTGCATTATTACAACACCAGTAAAACTGAAAAATAAGCAAACAGTACTTCACTTAATCTTAAAAGAAATTAATACATTAATTAATCTAAAATACACAAAGCTAATCTACAAGTTGAAAAAGGAAAAGGAGGAGTTGCGATTTTAGAAAACTGCTCTTATGTCTTTTTTCAAGTAAGTTTGTATGAGTTAAAGTGATGATTTGGCATGTGTATAAAGAAAACAGTTTGTGTGAAGCAGACAAATAAAATTGGGGTGCCACTGCTGTGAACACTGCTGTGATGCACACAAGGAACAGTACTCTGTATTGAAACAAATGTCAAGCCCAGCGCATTGAGTTAAGATAAAAAATAAATCTATCAAAGAGTAAAAGTTCATGGTCACTGAAAAACGATTAAGTAAAAAATGATATTCCACCAACAATAAACAATATATACCACAATATGTGATGCAAACCAGAAACACTTCAGGAACACACAAATATGTGCTACAAAGAAAGCTACACACATTTCAAACCCGCATCGAACCAATACTAAAACTTTTCTAGGATAAAAAACCCCCAGAAAGCAAGTAGACATGTAAATTAGAGATATGGTGAAAAAAAGCAGACATTTACTTCCGTTAAGTGAAAAAAACGTAATCATGACATCATAAGAACCAACTTCAGCACATACCTGCACCAACTGAACAACAGTTCCTTTGCCGTCACCATCTTCCTTGGCATTCTGGCTGGTCTCCATTGCACTTGATTTCTGAAAAATATATAAAAATCTACTTTAAAAAATTGAAATAATTGAAATAAGCATAAAAATATACAAGGTGAAACCTAGAAAGACCTTTTTTAAAAGGCAAATAAAATTTGTATGAAAGCAGGCATATCTTAGAATGACATGAAGAAAATGTAATTCTAGCTTTTCATTTTCAAAGTCAAAGTTGTACTTCATTTTGTGACTTCTACACAGCGTTAAATTCAATCGAAACAAACTTTGGCGAAACCCCTGTCAGCAAACAGAAAACTTTTACAAGCTCTGGTAACTCTTGCAAAGTGCACAATTTTAAGACTCATTTTGACGCAGTCATTTTCCTTATTTTCGTGGATAAAGCATGACAATTAATATTTGTGACAAATTATGAGGACACTACTGTCAAAGTAAATTGAAAGGAAGCTACAAAACAGTGGAACAAAACAAACTGAAACGAATAACAATGGCAAATAAACCATAGACAAATCAGTCAGTCTGGTGAATGATGGGGAGCACAAATCTGGAAGTTACATGAAGATTAAACTAAACAAAATATACACGACTGACTCAACAAAATGTACAAAGAAGGAACACAAAAAAAGCAAAACAGGAACAAGCTTTATTAAGATTGGACCTTGCACTCTGGGTCTTGATCACATAGAACGCAAAGACACATCTGATGAATGTCTCATACATACAGGCATGTTGACTTTTGTTCTGTTTTTGAAACACAAAGATGCCACTGAATTGGTGCCTGTGCAAAACACCCATTAAAAAGAATCTATCTGAGGCATGAAGCAGTAAAGAGCTAGAGAAAGAGAGTTTGTGCAGATGACATTCAAGGGAATGGCTCAAAGAACCCCCCCCCCCCCACACACACACACCCCTTGGGTAACTACACAAAGTCATTTAAACAGGGCGAAAAATGTCTGAAGGAAGATGATGCAATGTCATATATACCCCAAGGTCATCACAATGGAACAATGAAGTCTGACATGGTACGCAGGCCCATTATCAACCACTAAATACAGAACATACCTACAATCATATGTATGTACTTAAAATTTGTCTAAGTGTTGATAATGCATTTTTAGAATATTGTCTGTGGTTGAGTGTGAAGCAAAAAACCCCAACAAAACAATGATACGGTAAGTCAGGTCTGTTCCTGCTTAACTCCTTTTCAGAAACTCAAACTGAAGTATCATAACTTATAATACAAATCACTGGCTGGTTCCTTTTCTACAGTTTTTTGTTTGCCTCATAGAAATCCCACTGTCTGCACCCTTGATACAGATTTATATTTACCTTATCCGTACGTCGTGTTTTACTATCGTATCCACGCGACGTGGGGAGCTCTGTCCCACCACTTTCCAAAGAGGAAATTTACACGTTAATCCGATCCGCACTCTTTGTATAACAGCCTGTCAAAATGATTTTTTGAGAAATACTGAAAGTTTCAAAAATCTTCGTACCAGATGCATTCTAAATTGTGAAGAATACAACCCTGAGGGTACAAAATGACCCCAGGGCATACGGATAGGGTTAATCTCATTGTCTTTCCTCCTCCTCCTCCTCAGGACCATTGAACAGTTGCCTCATAACTTCAGCTTTCTCCATTTAGAGGCAGTTATGTACAACTGCAAACCCCGCCAGTCTGTCAGCAAAGTCTTTACCCTTCACTCCAGAGTGGCTGAAACTGCTGTGAACTCCCAGAAACAAGTATACAGAATCAAGGGCAGAGACCTTGAGGACACAAAGCCCACAGCAGGGACCATAAAGTATACAAAGAAAGGACATTTAAAGCTGAGCTACACACATTTTTTTGCAAAAATTCTCATTCTGTTGAAAGCAGCAGGAGCAAACAATGAAAGAAAGACTAATGTCCTTGGTGCGAAACACTATTCACACGTGAGAACAACAGTGTTTGACAGTTGGATACAGATGTAACTTCAGGATTTTTCCTCTCAAAGCAGCTAGTAAAATAACAAGGAGTTGAAAGCTATAATATCATCTGCCGAACTGTATACTCAGATATAGATATTTACAGCATATCAAGCATTGCACTTTGTTCCAATTACGAAGTACATAGACACAATGACAGTCATCTGGTGCGAAGAAAAGGCAAGACAACATAGTGAACAAACATGTATTTTAAGAAAGCTGCAGCACAAGAGAAAGAACATGGGGAGGTTTTCTTGTGGCCTGACACAAAAAAAAACCCATGGCGCTTCATCTAGTAAAATGGGATTAGTTATATCAATTTTTAAAAAGATATCAATATAGCAAAGCAAATGGATACCTATTTATCTATTCAGCACCTCCCAGAAATGAACTACAGGACATCATTCAGAGCTTACATTCACATTGTAGCAGACAGCAATGAAAGAAGAAAGTTGCAAAGAACAAAGAAGGCGACTGACCACAGCAACTCAGCTATTTATCTAAGAAGTGAATTGCAGAATAGGGTTGAGCTGGAAGTTAATTACATAAAAAGCATGAAAGAACTTGCTGAATCCGTCCTGAAATCAAAACAAACCACACCCTGCACCTACAGGATGGAGTCACAATAAGTTTAAAAAAGCAACAACCCAACAATCTGAATACTCCCATCACCATAGCAAGATTAGTTGTTCAAATTTTACCAACTGAATTTAAAAGAACCCAGCCTAACTTTTATAAATAAATGTAAATGTATTATTTAGTGTGTTGTTAGTACTTCATAATTTTGAAACAACCCCACAATAATTCAGATCTTTATTATCTATATAAAGATTGGAGAACATGCAAAGAGAACCATGTGCAAAAGAACTCTTAATATTAAAAGATACAGACTTACTCTGAAACATTCTGCCTGACTCACACTCACAACTTGCTTCCATCTTATTATTTCACTTTGCCCCCCTCTTTTCAAGGCCAATATATTGACAGACATCATTTCCACATGCGTGAGTAAAATATTTTGTTCACCACGGTCCACATACTATGATCATGGGGAGTACACAGTGTGTTTTGTTAGATGATTTCTAAATTTATATTACATGTATTAAGATATATAATAACAAATAATGACGCAATGAGAGAACACATTGCAAGAACATGCTAGAGGAGGAAGCAAGGGTTGCACTTGATGCAGTCTACTGATACCTGGCACACCTTAGATTGTGGGGCTGTTGGAGGGTATTCATAAGCATCGAAAAACTGGCTTTCCTCCGAGCTAGATTCGTTCTTGAAGCCAAATGAAAAAATAACGCCATAAAGGTAAACACAGAAAACATGCAGACAATTTCATTGGAAACAATTTCAACAGAAGGAGCCACCATGTCACTAGTTGCTTTCTTTCATTATAGAAATGATTCTTCTGAACAGTCTGCATAAAGTCTGAAATAAGGTTATGCTTGGACAGTATTGAAGTAGTTTCTCTTGAATGCTACATACAGAGACAGGGTACTGAAATTTAATTCCAATCAAACAATATTTCATTGCCTGTAATGAACACCCATAATACCACAACACTATTTTTAAGCATGAGAAGAAAATACATGAGTTATGTAAGTCAACAAATCGAAGTCTATTTTTTCAGAAACGGCTATATAAGCTAGTTCTCAATCTGCTCACTGAGTGTACAGTTCTTGCTGAGCATGCTAATTATGGGTGCATTTTGTCATTTAATAGATGTAGCATTAGCAGATATCCAACTTACTCTATGCGATCCACAACACCTACTTACAAACTTCAGCACAGTACAGATGCAATATTTCAACCAAAATATAGAATCTTTCCACTTTGAAATGGTTTTGGCTTTTTCCTTCACAAATATCACTATGAGACAATGTCTTTCACATCAAAATGCTACATCTGTAGAATTTCGTTTTTTGTTTCCCCCTAAGGGCTGCATAGTCTTTATTCTAATTTAAGTCATTTTTTCCCCCTTTTACTTCTTCAAATCTTTCAAACACACTGAAAACTGTCTTTGCTATTATTACTCTAGTCGTGAGAAATTCTGATTTCTCAGACATCACTTTTTGTAAACATAGAAAATAGACAGCTGAAAAATTCATTGCGATACAGTGTGCCCACATTGCTCAGCATTCGATATTAGAAAAGCTGAGAAGGAAAAAAAAGACATGACACAAGGTTTTTGTTAACCTGCAAGAAGACAGAAGTGGTCATACATAATTTAAAGACATAAGATTCTGGAAGCTCTCTTTTTTCCTTTTTTTAACCATCATCAACTCCTTCTTTCATTTATCTACTGAGCTAACAGAGTAGTGTCCTTGACATGCTTGACACAGATAGGAAAAAGAAACACACAGAAAAATATATAACCAGCATCATTAAAAACAAACTGGATATGTGAGAAAATCAAAACTTTATCCTTTATTCTGCCATTCATGGTTTCCTGCCATTTAGACAGTCCCATTTCCAACATCTTGCTTTTACTTTCATCAGCATTAAGTTTGTCCAAACATCACCAGTTCATTTCTCTGCGTTATATTCAAATCACTTCACTACAAAAAAATACCCACATGCAAACACAACATTCACCTTCCCTCTATCCCTAAAAATAAAACAAAACCAAGACTACGGAAAGAAACATTTAGCCTCCATCACTAAACCACTACTACGGTTTAAAGAAATCATGCCAGCGTCTATCTTTAGGGTCCATATTTTTCTCCATCTCCACATCTCCTACAATATCCATCCTTTCCAATACCAAATCCTTCTTTTTGCGCCCAAGAAAACACAAATATCGCCAACACAGCATCAGCAGCTTCCCTGCCCCACATCAAAGCATACATGTGCCTCTGGCCTCAAACTGACAAGCAACAAAAAAAGAATTACCTTTTGTTCAGCAACTTTCAGGTTGCCTCCTGCTTGTTCCGCCTCTAGGGCTCTTGCAGCAGGATGTTTGCTGCTGTCTGGCTGTAGTACAGCAGGACTGCTCATTAAAAGGTCATGGTCACTGCCGGAAGGAAGAAAATAAAAACTATATGATACCCCTACCAGACACAATCTACAACTTAAGTACAGTTGAACCTGTCCATTATGGTCACTCAAGACCACAGGGACAAATTATACCGTTATAGACAGGTGGTCGTTTTGTAAAGGGTCCGAGTTGTGGTCATTTAACAGACATAACGAAGTCAACAGATGGCACAAATCTTAACTTTCTGTTTCCATTTCACTTCCATCAAAACTGTTATCTATCATAAAAGCTTCTTTGCTTTGATTGAACATAAACACTACTCTGAGGATGAGTTGACAGAAATGTTTTGTAGCTCAGGACTACTATGAGCAGGCTTTGAGGTTGAAAGGACTGACCATGGCCAGGAATATTCCAGAGTCTGAGAAAAAAATATGAGCAAATGCATAACTTTATGTCAAATACTCTGACCCAGACAGTACACAGGAACCTCAAGGAGTAGGGGGGATGAGCTGGTACTAAACCTTTATTTTTAGTAACGTTTTAGAACACTTGCAACACAATACGGACGTACAAATTAATGTGTACCACCCTAAATCAATCTAAACAGCTTACGATAATAGAGCTTATATCCTTTGCATTTAGTTTTTGTACATATGTGTGTGTGTGTGTGTGTGAGAGAGAGAGTGAGTGAGAGAGAGAGAGAGAGAGAGAGAGAGAGAGAGAGAGAGAGAGAGAGAGAGAGAGAAAGAAAGAGAGAGAGAGAGAGAGAGAGAGAGAGTAAGAGAGAGGGAGAGAAAAAAAAGAGAGAGTTCGTGTGTTATTGTGTGAGAGCCTAGATATGTGAATGAATGACCATGTATGTGAGTATGTATGTATGTATGTATGTATGTATGTATGTATGTATGTATGTATGTATGTACGTAACGTACGTACGTACGTACGTACGTATGTATGTATGTATGTATGTATGTATGTATGTATGTATGCGCATGTGTGTACGTGTGTGTGTGTGCCCTTGTGTGTGTGCATGCATGTGTGCATGTATGCATTTGTGTGTGTATGATACAAATTGACTAATGAACTACAGTAGACAAAAGAATAATCATATTTGAAAATATCTTACATGATAAAATTGAAGTATCACTAAAATAGGGCTAAAAGTGGAGTCTGTGACTCTACAAATCAGGCAACACAATTTTGTTATTAGGTATACCCAGAATAAGTTTGAAAGAGGAGTTGGGGGAATTAATAACAAAATGATATTTATTTGAGAAAAACAGACAACAGTACCACTAGAGCCCAAAAATGGGGACCTATCAATTGTATTTTTCGAATATAAGCAATGAAGAAAGGAGGCCAAAAAAATCCAAAACCCAACCCCAAACAAAATAAAGTGATATTGACAGGCATCAAGAATACTATAAAGGAAGATCATGGAAAGAAAAACTTTCAGCCCTTATAAGGGAAACCCCGAAAAAAACCTACACAAACAAAGGGGAGCCTTCTATCTTCTTTGCGTTCCCCTGCTACATGTCAGTCAGGGGTAGTTGACTACTGGTTCTACAACCTGCAGTGCAACTGATTTTTACGCATGTGACCATTTTTCCTAGAACAAAGGAGTGATATCAGTTACTCATGGCAATTCTTGACTAATCATACAGTGAGCCCAAAGAAAAAGGTGTACCTCTTTGAATGGTGAACATGCTCCCTTGATGATGTAGACTGCTTGGAAGATTTTCCTGTGGGACAAAGTAACAGTATTGAAAAAATGAGCAACACAAATGACACTCCTGAACATAAGTCATTATTATAATGTAAAATGGAATCTATGCACAATTAACTTTTAAGAAGGGACACTTGGTACATTGTGAGAATACGAACATAACAGTCCTATTGACGAATGGCAGGCAGCAATGTCTCTGTAAAGACTGAAAGAAAATTAAAAACTGTTCATATTCTCATAAAGTACCATGAGCCCCCTCAATGTTAAAAGAGAAGCATCGACTAACTGGAAATTATACAGAACATACGAAATGAAAAATAGTGTAAGAAAGAAGAAAGACACTGTTACTCACAACAAATGTGATAGAAATGAACACCGACAATAGCTAGACAGGGATATCCGCAACAGAAGAGGAGAGGGATTTAATTGTATACAACATAAACCCCCCCCCCCCAAAGAAAAAAACACACCCCCACCCCTCTCTCTCTCTCACACACGCACGCACTCATAATTAATTCAAGAGATAGAAAACAGCAGCCACGCGACTAACAAGAGTTCAATTACGGCGGTGACGTAAAATGTGAAGTGAAGCAGATCGACTACTTTTGCTAGTACCAATGACGTTGGGCTGTTTAACAACCCACATTTCGTAGACAACGGTCGCCAATAGAACAGAGTAATTAAAAAATGCGGCAGTAATGAGGCCACAACATATCTCTTTAAGTTTAAGATAACATTTTCGCTACTCCCACCGGAAAATTTAGTTTTATTCCATATCCACCCCCCCCCCCCTCTCTCTCTCTCTCTCTGTCTCTGTCTCTCACGCACACACACCACCATCAACCCAGTGCAATGTTTACACGATAAAGAAACTGATTCGGGGGGGGGGGGGGGGGGGAGAATGTCATACCAAAGTAGATAATCTGGCGATTTTGTAGTTTCGTTCGTTAAAGTCAAGCAGGGGGGTTTCAGGGGGGCTTGCCCACCTGACCTAAAAAAATATGGAGGTGGGGGGGGGGGGGGTTCAGGGGGGCATGCCCCCCTGAATTTTGTCCTAATTTGATGTTTTGTAGTTAGGTTGCATCCCTGCTCTTTGTGTAGCCTAATTCAAATAGTATTTGGTCTTCAAGACTTCTGGATTTCTTCTCTGGATGTCAACAAATGGATCGTGGACTTTTACGAACGGAACTACAAGATCACCGATAATCTTTGGTCATACTATCAACTAATCTAGATATCATTGACTAGACCTAATATCTAGATCTAAATCTAGATCTAGATCTAGATATATATATAGATTTTCTAGATCTAGATTCTACATCTAGATATCGATCTAGGTAGAGGGCCACCTCTATTCTCACCCGGAGTGAGAATAGTGCAGGCGAGTCTTGTGGCTATTCTCACCCGGTGCGCGTTCACCAAATTTTGCGTTCACCCTAAACCACAGAATGCTACACTGTGATCACAGAAAAATTGTAGAATTCTGTGCCGTGAACAGACGTTCCATTACAACTGTAGCCTACTAAATGCGTACAATTTTGTCTGTGGGCAGTGGAGAGAGAGAGAGAAAGAGAGAGAGGAGTAGCGCGAGAGTTTCCGGGCAAAACAAAATGGCGACCCGCGTAGGTCGGCTTGGTTCGGCTCGATTCGAAAAGTTAAATAGCCGTAGCATCTTTGTAGACAACCAAATTAATTTACTTTTGTGTTTTAACATCATTTTTAAACTTTGTTTTGGTCAATTTGATCGTCCACACCGATAGACAGTATTCAGAAAGAGACAGAGAGAGAGAGAGAGAAGAGGGGAGGAGTTGATCTTGCGAGAACTTCCGGGCGGGTGAGAATAGCCACTTTCTTCTAGATATCTAGATCTAATACTAGATCTAGATCTATTATTTTTGAAAATACACATTAGAGTCCAGTCACAAAAAGCGCCCACTTGAATCACATACAAACTAGGGAGTTAGACTTTCAAATGTAGCGAACACTTAATGCGATGTTCTTTGCATTGATGTTTTGCGGTGGGACCATCTGTGGCCTACACCAAGATTGGCTTCGAAGATGAAACTTTTGAGTTTGTTTATGTGTTTGCTTGAGTGCAAACTTTCTGTCAGTTTCCGTTCAAAAACAACAGCAACCATGTAGATGTGCCAGTCCCTGTCGGAAATTCCCTAAACAATACCAATGACTCCACCAAGTTTCATTTTTTCCCAAGTCGGACATTAGGCCTAGTCCAGCTAGATGAATAATTATCCTAACTATGGTTCCTTCATTTCCCAGGGTCTCTCTTACTCTCTGTTTTTCGTACTCCGAATTAAACGGTACGCGAATGGTTGGAGGACGCCACTGGTAGGTCCTACTTTTTTTTACTTTCCCTTTCTTGTTTCTATCTTACTTTTCCCCACTACTAAATGGCCATTATAGTCTCTATGTACTTCTCTTTACTCAACAAAAAGCACGATGGAGACTGATAAAGCTCGGCAACCGAACGATTCAGATAAAAAAAAAATATGGACAATAAAGTAAAGAGTGTTATATATTAATATTAGATATTGCCAAATAGCCAAAGCCTTCACCACACCCACTTTCTCAGAACAGTCTGTAAACAAGGAGTAACAAAAATATTTTTCGTGAACACATAAATGAATACATAAACTACTCCTTTAATTAAAAGTGTCGGGTTGACAAATGAACTGTCGTTTTGTCAGAATGCATATTCTGAGAACACATATCGCTTCGCTTCGTTGATCCGACATGTACGGAGTTTCATGTCTTAGTGTAGAAAAAAACCATTATAATTTCAGTTCATATATTTAACATCACAAAAAGGGAAAACAGCAAACTCACCACCCAGGATTACGCTTTATCCAGAACACACACACAAACACACAAGTTAGAAAATAAGCTAGGAAAAGCACACGCAACCTCGCTGTCGCATCACACTTTGGCCGCCCCGCCAGCACACGGGGACGCGGAGATGACTAATAATTATTTCCCACGACACAAAGACCGCGGGGAAAAGTCTCCTTCCCCCACTCCGCTTTTCACATCATCAAAACAAAATCGAATATTTCTCTTCACAGGCTTATCACTCAAAAGTTTCCGAGCCTGGACTCGAACAGTGCGACGATCTGCTGTGGTTTGGGTAAGTTCAATTATTTTTGTGCTTTTTAAAAACGAAATACTGCAAGGTATGCACATTTCACACACACACACACACACACACACACACACACACACACATACACCCCCCCCACACACACACACACGCACGCAAACACACACACACACTTGTTTGATGATGTTCAATTTTTTTTAAAGCATCTCTAATAATGCTCGGTAATCTACATGTTTTTGCGACAAAGTCCAACCATAAAACTACACCGTAGATCTATAGGTGACTTCAAAGACCATTATTACTTAGTTTAATGAATGAAATAATTTCATCCGAAAGAAGATCTATCCTACAAAGCTTTCTGGATACGACGGCATCATGTTGGAAGACAAGCAGTAAGATTCAGGGACAGGGCAGACCAGATTTTGGGATACGTCCCTTGAACTTTTCAGGGAATTCACTTTTAGCGTTATACGAAAAACTTTGTTTGTTCCCTCAAAATGCGACCAAATTACATGTATATCAATTAACAGAAACACTACCAAAATAAATCACACAATACAAGGAACTTTGACAGCACTATGAACAACAAACTAATTCGGAGGCCAGGAACACCAGCAGCCATAACAGAAATCTGATATGACTGGGACACTAACATTCACCGAAACCCCTGGACGTCAATCGGAACCACAAACTCCCAGCAACGACAAATCGAGTTTAAAATTAGAAGGTTGCTGGGTTTCGCTTACAAGAAAAAACCAAATCGGTACCGATGAAGGAACGGCAAGCAAGGCATGACAAAAATTGGACAGATCTACGCCTACAGCACTCTCCGCTCATACAAAAGAACCCAAATATTTTCAAATGCAAGGATAGGAAAATGTTGCCGGAAGAGAACGAAGTTCAATTCAGTACATGTATAAAACACATTCAAAACAATACCCTTCCGGGATGTTTTAACATTAAATCACGGCAGGACACAAGTCGGATACACTCGAGGCTCTTGACTGGGACGCCATTCATTTATACACTCAGCCCATTCATTTAGTACTGTCAGCGCCACAGTATGGTGAAGTGGTCATGGCAGACTCAACAGCAAGAAGTTTTGGGGGCCGAAGAGCTGTGCCTTGCTTGCCAATCGATGAGATAAGCACAGGGACAAAGGCAGAGGAAGACGTGCGAGGCAGATGTCGTGTGTACGTCTGTTGCTGTGGCCACGGACCATGAGCGGTCCCGCATAGCACAACAGTGACATCATTACCGAGTTAGAAGGGGGAATCCCCCAGCTGGCCATATCGACCAAGAATGCTCTGATCTTGACAGAGGATGTTAACGTGTAGAGCCTCTGTTCGCTTCAACTACCCTCCCCCCCCCCCCCTCTTCCCTTAAAAAATATCGCAGCCCACATCCCTATACATGAACGAGTAAGTTTTCTTCTACCTAAAAATCCCGTTTCCACCTTTCCTTTGCCTTTATTCGAGCCTTTAATGTTTAATTATACTTGGAAAAAAAAAGAGGAAAACATAACTGAGCAAACCTGCTATCATAATGAACCCCGCCAAGAGGTTGATATCAGCCACTCTCGCCAGCGACAATCAGGTGACACTCCTGGTCGAGGACAACACTCAAAAGATGTGACAATGGCAATGTCAATGACAATAATGCAGCTGATTTCAGTGAAGGTAAAAGCAAGGACGACGGTAATGGCAGTGTCGACAATGAAAACGAAATGTAATGGAAGCGGTGGAGTTACCGTCAAAAGTCAATCTTCATAAACAAATATCAGAAAAATGCATTCAGTCTTATCACAAAAATTAATAACAGCGTCCATTCGCGATATAAACACGTTGGTCCATAAATCCTGGAATGGTTCCAGCTGATGTCAGCCAAATTGCACCCATCGC